ATTTTTTCAAATAGATTTCCAATTTCTTTTTCTTTCTCTTCTCTGGCACCGCTCTGATGGATTCCGACCTCGATGACCTGGGTGGTAGTACACCAATGTGGACTATAGCTGTCCACTGGGTGCACGAGCCCTGAAGTATCCCAGGTGGTGCACGCCAAGGTGAGCACCTACCCGTGTTTTGCCCGAGGCCATTCTCCCTAAGCCATAAAACAATCTGAGAAGGCTGAAGCTTTTACTGGGCTTAGAGATTCTCAGATAACGTAAGGCTGTGAGTCTAAACTGGCTGCTACTACTGCCTGGCCTGGAGCTCACTGAGGCCAGCTTGCTTATATGATAGAATTTAGGACGGGGGTGTCAAAATCATTTTCATCACGGGCTACATCTACCTCACAGTTGTCTTCAAAGAGCTGAATGTAACTTTAGGACTGTATTAATGTAACTACTCCTTAACAGTTAAGTGAGAGCTTGGCACTGCCATGGGGTAGAAACAAGGTACTGGGCCAGATAAAACAAGGTGGAGGGCCGGATTTGGCCTGCAGGCCTTGTGTTTGTCACCTGTGATTTAGGAAGTTGTGAAGCATGAATCAAGATCTGCCATTCATATGGAAAAGCAGCTTGGGATGGTCCATAAATTGGGTGGGGTGGGGTCTCTGGAGATCTCCAAGGCAGGTCAAACAGTATTAGTGAGGTGATGGAGTCTGAGATATGGTATCTGCCTTCCTGCTCTGTGGCTCTGCAGGGGGGATGACTCAGAAAAGGGACAATGGCCTCTGCTCACCTTGATGCCAGAAACTGCAGCCTCTCTCAGTATTCCCCTGGTGCCCTTCAAGCTGCTACCCTACAGCTGGAGCTCAGATGGAGTTTGAGTAGGTGAGTCCATGTGTGGGTTAAGAGGAAATGCTTGGGGCTCCAGCAGTTTCTTCCACCAACTCAATCCCTGTTGGATTTTGTGGCCAGAATTTTCAGGGACCTATCCTCCTGCCATTGGAACCCTCGGCGGGAGGGCTTGGTGTGGGTCTGGGTCTGCTTGCTCCTGAAATATCCCTTCCAAATTTTTACCCACCACACATGGGTGTCAGACCAGCCCATTTCCCATCTGCACCTCTCCTACTAGTCTTGATGTAAATGGTATCATCAATTCCATAGTTGTCAGGCTTCCATTCAACTTGATTTCTGATGTTCCTGAATGATGGCTGTTCTATATTTTAGTTGTAATTTTCATGTGGTTGTGAGAAGAGCTAAGCCATGTCTGCCTATGCCACCATCTTAACCAGAAACTCGGAGGTATCAAATCTTTGATTCATTTTGAATTTGTTATTGTGTGTGGTATGAGAAGGTGGTCTGGCTTCATTTTTCTGGACTTACCTGTCCAATTTTTCCCATGCCATTTGTCAAACAAACTATCTTTAGCCCAATGTATGTGCTTACTTATTCTGTCAAATATTGACTGAAAAAAGTGTGGGTTTATTTTGGGGATCTTTATTCTATTCCATTGATTTATATTTCTGTGCAAGTATCAGGCTATTTTGATTACTATGGTCTTATAACATAGTTTTGATATTATGTAGCATGATTCCTCCATCTGTTCTTTTTCAGGATTGAAATTGTTATGAGGTCCTTTTGTAATTCCATATAATCTTGGAAATATTCTGGTTTTGTGAGATACACCATTGGAATCTTGATAGGAATTGCGCTGAATCTATAGATTGTTTGGGGTAGTATGGACATTTTAATGATGTTAATTTCATCCTATCCAGGAACATAGTATGTGCTTCCACTTATTTGTATCTTCTTCAATTTCTCTCTTCAGCGTCTTATAATTTTCCAAGTACAGGTCTTTTACATCCTTGGTTAGGTTTATTCGTAGGTATTTTATTCTTTTTTTGAAGCAATTGTTAATGAAATTGTTTTCTCCCCTTTCTGTTAATTCACTATTGGCATATAAAAATGCAACTGATTTCTGAATATTAATTTTGTATCCTGCTATTTTGCTGAATTTGTTTATCAGTTTTAGTAGTTTCTTGGTAAATCTTTGGGGTTCTCTACGTATAGTATCATGTCATCTGCAAATAAAGACAGTTTTACTTCTTCCTTTCCAATTTGGATGCCTTTTATTGCTTCTTCTTGTCAGATCGCTCTAGCTAGGACTTCCAGTACTATGTTGAATAGTAGAGGTAAAACATTCCTGTCTTATTTCCAACCTTAAGGGGAACACTTGTAGTTTTTGCCCATTGTGTATGATGCTGGCACTAGGTCTGTCATACATGGCCTTATTATTTTTAGGTATGTTCCCTCTATTCCCACTTTGCTGAGTTTTTATCATAGATCATTGCTGGATTTCATCAAAATCTTTTTCTGTATCTATTGATATAATCATGTGATTTTTATCCTTCATTTTGTTTACATGGTGAATCACTTATTGATTTGCAAATGGTGTGCCATCCTTGTATGCCTGGAATAAATCCCACTTGATCATGGGGTATGATCTTCTTGATGCATTGCTGTATTCACTTTTGCTGAGGATTTTAGCATCTATGTTCATCAGTGATATACACCTATAATTTTCTTTCTCTGTAGTATTTTTATCTGGTTTTGGAATTAGGATAATGCTGGCCTCATAAAATGAGTTTGGGAGCCTTCTCTACTGTTAAATTTTATGAAATAGTTTGAAAAGGAAAGGTGTTAATTCTTGTCAGAATGTTTGGTAAAATTCACCTGTGAAGCCATCTGGTCCATGGCTTTTGTTTGTTGGAAATTTTTTTATTATTGCTTCAGTTTTATTACATGTAATCTGTCCATTCAGATTCTCTGATTCTTCTTGATTTATTTTTGGAAGAGTGTGTATTTCTTGGAATTTATCCCTTTCATCCACGTTGTCCAGTTTGTTGGCATGTAATCATTCATAATATTTTCTTATAATTTTTTGTGTTTCTTTGGTGTCTGTTGTTATTTCTCCTCTTTCATTTCTGATTTTATTTAATTGGGTCCTTTCTCTTTTTTTCTTGATGAGTCGGGTTAAAAGTTTCTCAGTCTTGTTTATCTTGCCAAAAAAAAAAAAAAACAGCTTTTGTTTTGATCTTCTGATACAGATATATTTATCTTCTCTTTTTTTGGACTTTCATTTATTTTTGCTCTGATCTTTATTATTTCCTTCCTTCTACACATATTGGGCTTTGTTGTTCCTTTTCAAGTTCCTTTAAGTGTTGAAGTTTGATCATTTAGCTGAGCTTTTTGTTGTTTTTTTGAGATAGGCCTTTAATGCTATGTACTTCTCTCTTAGGATTGCTTTCCCAGTGTCCCACAGATTTTGGATAGTTGTATCCTCATATTCATTTGTTTCAAGATATCTTTTGATTTCTTTCTTGATCTTATTATTGAGAGATAGCATCTTTTAATCTACCTAAAAAGAATAATGCAGCCCTGGATGGTGCAGCTCAGTGGATTGAGCGTGGGCCTGCAAACCAGAGGATTGCGGTTCGATTCCCAGTCAGGGCACATGCCTGGGTTGTAGGCCAGTTCCCAGCAGAGGACACATGAGAGGCAACCACACACTGATGATGCTTCTCTCCCACGCTTTCTCCTTCCCTTTCCCTCTCTCTAAAAATAAATAAATAAATAAAATATCTAAAAATAAATAAATAAAAAGAATAATGCAGCATCTTCTGATCAGACAAGAACATGATGATCTTGAACACCTGGGGGGCAGGGAACTCCAAGAAATAAAGTAGCAAAGCTTTTTGATATATTAAAATCCCTGCTTCTCAGAGCCTGCCTTTGAGCATCCAGAGAGACCCTGTACTAGTTAGACAGGTGGGGCAGAAAACAGGGCAGCCAGGACAATTCTTGAAGAATAACTGTAAAGTGAACAATGGTGGGTAATAATGAAAATATAAGATCTGAATCCTGCATCACATGTGCCACAATTGATCAGCTAATCAGTGTGGTACAATCAAATGAGTTATGAAATCTAGATTCAACTCCCTACCAAAATGTAGGCCTATGAATTTTAATAAATGAACCTGAGCTTCAAATAAAGAGAATACACTGAACATGTAAGTCCTTGTCAAGGCCTAAAATGAGATGTCCCCAGCAAAAGGCCAATATCAAAAGTGGCTGCAGAGATTAGAAACAGCTATAGGGTAATCTATCCATCACACAGGATAGAGCTCTAACAAACAACAAACACACCAAAGACTAGGCAGCTCTCCTATCCCAGAGGCTGAGAAAGGGCAGCCTGTGGGAGTCTGGAATCAAATCTGAGATCCAGGAGGTAGGATCTTTAGATTTTTAGTCTGTACTAAAAAGGTTAACAGAGTTGAAAGGCAATGTGTGTGTGTGTGTGGGGGGGGGGGGATGCAGAAAAATATGACATGTACAAGAGGTTTAAAAAAAGGAATTATAATTTTGTCTCATGATGGCTAGGAGCCTGTGAGATTAAAGATACTAATTGGGAACTAAAAATAATGAAAGGAAAAATCTGCAGCAATCACTAAAAGCACTATTCTTTCTAGAATCTGGTCTTACATTTTTGTGGATTCTGTATCACTGGTAGGATCTCTATCTGTACTTGCCCCTAAAATATCATTCCGAATATGGTCCAAGGTCCTCTTCCTTCACTCATTCCTGTTCACAACCCTGGATCCCTCTCTGTGGGCCCATACCCCACATGCTTCTACTGGGTGCCTCCACCGTGGTTACCACCATGATCCTCCATCCCTCCATACCCATCTTCAAATACCCTCCTTTCTCATTGTTCCCCACCACCACCAAGCTGATATTGTTTAAGCTAAAAAACTCATTAACTGTGGACTGGATAAATAAAAGGTATTAAATGATACAGTAGGGGACAAAGAAGAAACCTGTTTTTAACCAAGTCCAAGAATGACCTTTATGACCTACTTCAAGGGGCCAGTCTTCACTCTAACTAGAAAAACTACAAAGTGAAAATACAAAAGTGGAGAATTCTCCAGACCGAACAAGCATGATGTGTCAACACTAACCTTTGAGTCATAGGCTGACTGTTTAATGACTTCGGGTGCCATCCAGAAAGGGGTGCCCACGAAGGTGTTTCTTTTTATCTGGGTATCTGTCAGCTGTCCCGCCACTCCAAAATCAGCCAGCTTCACCTCTCCATGTTCAGAGAGCAGAACATTGGCAGCTGCAAAATAAAACCATGATGCCTCCTGGGATTGTTTACTGCGCTGTTCTGTCCATTTTCATTTTAGGAATGCGTACGTTCTCTTCCCAATGGGACCATGTTTTCAGTAAGAAAAAGCACCAAGGGATATTTTTGGTTAGATACCCCTCAAAGCCAACTTACCCCCATGCAGCTGAAGGTACTCTACAAAAACCCATAGGACAACCTCCCTTGAGGAGCATAGTTTAATTCTACAGCACATTCCTACCCACCTTAGGTATTTCGAAGGAATAAAAACAATATACTTTCTTACCTTTGATATCTCTATGAATTTTTTTCTCCGAATGCAAATAATCAAGTCCTTTCAGTATTTCTCTTAATATAGTAGCAATCTGAGTTTCATCTAAAGGGCCAGGTTCTAACTAACAAAAAAAAAGTATTAAAGTTACTTCTATAATTATAAGAAGTTTGAAATGATAAAACAAAGTTAATACTCATGTTAAATAGATGAGAATAATTAAAATCTAAAAACTTCTCTACTCCAAAACAGGCATTTTTGTCCAATTAAAATCTACTTAAAGGGCCCTGAAATGAACAACGAAAATGAACCAGAGAAAATGACTTTTCTGAATGAAGTGAAGCTGGCTAAGAATTAAAGTAGGACCAGTTAGAAAGCCCATGGTCAGTCTTGCCATGGTTACAAGTTGAGCTATAACAAATTTTAGTCCAGAAAGCAAAAGCCCAGAAGCTCACAGAACTTGCTGGATAGGGTACAAAGCAGCTTGACCCTGTCCTAGCATATGTAATGGTAATAAAAACAAGTAGTTCAAAAGAGAAGGCCTGAGAGCCCACTGCTTTCTGAGGCTACCCCTGCACCAGAATTTTTTAAGCCTAAATTTTAAAACATGGGGAAAGCAGGAGAAAGAACTCAATTCCTGATGATGGAGAATTTTTTGCTGTATTTTGTATATATAAACAAAAGTTACTATATTATCCCAAATGAGATAATAATTTCTTCTGAAAACCTTCATTCTGAGAAACTCAAAGAAACTGATACTGACTTAATAGCCACAATTGTATAAAGATGTAAGGAAGAAATGTCAAGAAACATTTAAGGAAGAAATGCCCATTTTAAAAGGAAAAAAAAATAGGTTCTAAAGCTCAGTTCAAATTGGAAAGGTTCACCATCACTTGCAGAGCAGGGAATTCAACCACAACTTAATAATTATAGCAAAACAACTGAACACTCCCTAAAGAACTAATAAAAGAACTGGTGGGGGTCAGAATTCTAATATTAATTTTCTTTCTGAACTATGGTCCTCAGTATTGCATTTTCAGGTTTGACAACATAACCCAAATTCACATCATAGTGAAAGCTATCATAACCCAAATTCACACAATCCTGTGACATTCACTAAGTTTTAAAAAGATTGATGTGCTTTAAACCAAAGGGAATAAATACTAAGACACTCCTTGAAAAGTAGAGTTCTGATTGAAACTCCTATTTTCCTGTGTGTATCATGGCCTTCACTGGGACAGTGGTGACAGCACAGTTGTTTGTGGAGTCTAAGGTGGGGGCAGCTGAGACACAATTTCTGCTTCATTACAGCTTTACTTGTGTCTGGAACAGCTTTCTGGTTCATCTAGTGACCCGTGTCTCCTCTGCTTACTCACCCAACCTGTTGTACACAAAAATCCACAAAGTCTGGAGAAAAGATGGCAAGGTTAGTGGGCTTATCTGGTAGCAACTTCGAAGCTCCCTCATCTTTAGGACACAGGTGTAGGAGAATGATGCTACTCGCTATAGTCTTACTGTATATTATATGCTTAGTCACACTGCTTGGACCAACTAGCCTGCCAGAAAGTATCCCAAATTCTAATTAAGATACTATCCAAACATTACCTCAGAAGCAACATGTTGCACACTTTATTCCATAGAACCTAACTTTCCCCAGTTATCTGACCAAGAGTCTTCTTTTCAAGAAACATCCCCTGAAACTACTGTTCCAAAAAGCACAGTCTGTAACCCTCCCTGTCTGTCTTCTCCACGTCTATTTTTGACTGTTCATGCAAAATAGAAATTTTAATACTCAAAATGAGGAAAAGGCACTATTTCTCATAAACTGGGGAAAAGAAGAAAGAAGGGCAGAGATGCTGGCATATTTGCTCTTAGTCACAACACCAGAACACAGAAGGATAATCCAGTTGTTCAAAATCGTATCACAGAATGTAAGTTCCAGTTCCTCCTCCAGCACATTTTGCCCCAAGCCAATTATCAGTTAACATTTGGCTAGACTTCTGCTTAACTTTAACCTTCCTTCTATTATCGTCTCAGAAAGAAAAGGTAGAACAGCCTGTAGCAAGGGGAGATAAGAAGAGTTGAGAAAAGCTAATAGAAAAATCCTCCCCTGGATATTTAAGAACTGGCTCTCTGATTAATGTATGTATTTAAATGTGGCCTAAACACCACCCACCAATGATTTAGTCACCAGGGGTGAAGAGGGTAAAGTAGAGGTCCTTCTCGGTGTCAAAATTTACTATAAGCATTATACAGTTGCTCTCTACATCACAGAGATCCTCACTAGTGAGTGAGACCAGGATGAGATAACTTCTTGGAATAACATATTAGCATACTCCACCATTTCTAAACAATATAAATACAGCAGTCTCTATCATTAAGAGAACTGTGGAATCTTCAAATAATCTCTATAAAAGAAGACTCCCAGGAAAAAAATTTAGGCTGTACCTCATCTCTGGATGACTTCTAATTCCCTCTCATTCTTCCTCTGCAATAGAGACTATTAACCAAGCACATGGCCACCCAACAAGATGCCACATATACCAGCCTCTGCAGCACCAAGTCTGCCCATGTGAGTAGGTTCTCCCGAGTGGAATATGAGCAGAAGTGACACATGCTCCCTTCTTGGTCTTGGCCTTGAAACACTGGCAGCCAGAGAGAACAATGACTGAAGACCATAGAAAGCCACAGGTTACCGATGGTAGACCCACCCACTAGTGCAGGACCCTGAAGATCACATGGACTAGAGACCACTGACCCCCACATGTTTGAGAGAAATAAACTTCTATCATGTGTGAGACACTGGGGCCACTAACAACAGCAGCTCAACCCAAACCTTAATGAATATGCTATCTCATTTTTTAAAAACATCTTGCAGATACAGTTTTAAGTTTATCAAACACCTCTACATAGTTATGAAATTGTTATGTGTGACAACAACACTGGTTTTTTAAATTTTTTATAAACATAAGGCCATCTCAAAATAATACTAACAGTTTTCAACATGCAAAAAATAATTCTTGTATCCCATTATTAAAGTGTGTCCTCTTCTAGAGAGTTGGGTGCAGGCAGCCAACAGAAAAGGGAGAGAAGACGAATAAAGATACAACAAAATTAGAGGGAGGGGAAGTACAGGATGGTATCAGGGAAGGCCACACACAGGCTTTATACCTGGTCACAAGACCCAAAGGCCAGCTCTGTTGGCTGCAGGTGACACCCATCTTCCTAGTGTCTCCATCTCATCATCAATAAAAATGAGATGATTAGGGATCTCCAAAAAGGGATGCCTATTTCTTGTCACCAGGACCATTGATGTGTAAGACAGACAGCAGTCTGCTGGGACTCTCATACCATATGGGATTTTATTTAAAGTGGAGAGTTCTGAACTTCTTATACTATAATGTCTAAAATTTCACGGATTTCAATTAGAAGCTCCCAGAAAGTTACCACTAAAGAAGTTAAATTACTGGAGCTTTAAGAATGAATAAATTACAACATTTAGAGAGAACTGCTGCTCTTATGATTCAAGGTCAGAAAAAAAAAGTCCCTGCAAACAACTTTGTATATGTCACAAATGAAATTCACTTAATATAATAGAAAATCTAATTATACAAAATGAGATAACTGTCTACAGTCCTGTAGCATTTCCCAAAAGAGTAAAAGTGAAATGAAAATTTCCTTGTGTAATGTGAATATTTATTGAAAAGCAGCAAAGTAAGTTATAACATTTATCCAGCTGTTTTGTGTCTTTTCCCATTTTAATGTAATGGTTTACAGCATATCAAATTTTTTTAACTTTCCTTTGAGCATCATTTTGACCAATTGCCTTTATGGTTTATAACATTAGATGATTTTGTTTTAAATTGGGTATATAAGTCTTTTAGGAATTTATAGTTTTATAAGTTTATCTTTCCCAAAAAACTATGAATTGCTAATGTAACTACGAAAAACCAAGCACCTTTTAACCAAAGTGCACTTCTTTCCTTAGTGAGTAAAATCTGTGTAGACCATAACCACTAACATACATGGGCTTCTTTCAGTTCTCAATCTGAGAGCCATGAATAATGCAGACCCCTCATCCTGATAACTTTCTATCAGGCAGGACCCACGTTCTAACACCAAAATGATGAGTTAGGCTTGTCTTGGAAATCACCACTCACCCCACATCCCAGCCTTTACCGTTCAGATAGGCAAAGAGAGCTGATTACATTAATTTCACTGCACTGTAACCACAGTGGGGATGAAATGTCAAATGCTAAACAACTGTGTGAGTTCTTTAAAAATTTTGTCTTGCATATACTGCACCTCAAGGAATATTTAAGCAATGCTTATGATTCATTGCTTATTTCTAAGCATCTCATCAGTGATACGTAAACCATGTTTTACCATAAGACACAAGTCACAGACTGCAACTCTGAGGTCATGCAATACCTAACTTCTACTACTTTGTGTGGAAGACAGTGGGGCACACTAATGGCACAGCAGGTAAGAGACCAGGTAGGAGATGGCCACTGGTGCTGGCCCAGCTCCACCATAAACACACTCATAACCTGATCACCACTACTGTCTGTGGTACCACACTGCAACCATCACACAGTGCCAGTCTCTTACTCCTGAAAATGTTTTAATTTTTAAAGATCCTAATTTTGCCCTGGCTGGTGTAGTTCAGTGGACTGAGTGCGGGCCTGCGAACCACATGATTGCAGTTCAATTCCCAGCCAGGGCACATGCCTGGGTTGCAGGCCAGTTCCCAGCAGGGGACTCATGAGAGGCAACCATACATTGATATTTCTCTCCTTCTCTCCTTCCCTTCCCATCTAAAGATAAATAAAATCTTTTTTAAAAAATCCTAATTTTAACAAATTATAAATTAAAATATTACCCATATATTTTGCAAGCTAAGTTACTATTTGAAACAATGATGGGGTTTCAGTTCTACAAATATTAAAACCAGTTTTGGAAAACTAACAAACTGTTCTTCAGTAAGATAATGACAGACAAAATCCTTGTCAGCTTTTATGAATGAACTCATGGATTTCCCGAGAAACAACAAAACTGGTTTCAAAAATTTCAGTGTATCAGACCTATAATTTTCAGTGTATCAGAAGCAAAAATACATATTATAAGAAACAGTTTGGCCCATTTTTCATGGAATATAAAAGAAAGAAACAGAAATGGGTAAGCACAGAATTACATTCAAAATCAAGATTTACTGAGAAGGGCTTCCAACTTAATACTTACTAGATCTAGTGCAGAGCCTCCACCAAGATATTCCATTATTATCCACAATTTAGTATCCTACAAAAACAAAATAGAGATAAATTACTTTTAAAACAAGCAAACCCCTCCAAAAATTAAATAATCTAAGGAGGTCTTTTTATTATTCTGAAACTAGTAATTTTTATAAATACCCATACATCATCAAGAAAAGTGTGTCCAAGTTGAATCAAGCGCGGGGAAAAAACTACACAATGTCAGAGAAGGGCTTTCACAGTCTGGCCTGGACCCCAGAATCAGCCTCTTCCAGGCAGTGTGTTCCAGACATCATAAACCAGAATCTCTGAAGATGCGAAGGGGGGCAGGGGAGAGGAGGGGCGCATGTTATTCTTAAACAACTTTAGTGACCTAGAAGAGCAATAGCATTTGAGAACCAGTTCCCAAAGCCAGTTAAGGATAGCAGCTGTCACACAAGTCCCACCCTGGGTGTCAGCCAGGAGGTGCCAGAGCACACATGGGATCAGGTCACTTGCCTGCTATTGTCTTGCAGCCCTGAGGTGCAGGGACTGACCCTCAGTCCCTGTGAGCAAAGGAAAAGGCAATACTGCAAAGGTGGGATGGCAGCTAACATGAGCTTCTTATGAAGGCAGCCAATTTCAGACTCCCCGCAAAGGCTACTGTCCTCTCTTCAAGGGAACTTTCTAGGAAAGCAGGCCCCTGCTTCCTGAGCTTTGTACCTGTGTCCCTTAGCTCCCCCTTCATCAGAGGGTGAGATGCCACTTGTGACTGTCTTTTCCTTTTGTCTTTCATGAAGCTGGAGTTTTCTTTTTAGACATAAACCCCAAAACTGATTCTATCCTGAAAACAAACAAGCAAACACATATATCTGCACCATTCCCAGAGAGGGAGTGCCTATGTGGTGATCAGAATATGTGGGCTTGGGGAGATGCTAGATCAGGGTTGAGATTCTGACTGACTCCTCTTTACTATCTGAGGGGCCAGGGAAATTATTTCCTCTCTAAGCTTCTGATTGAGAGCTTAGCTAAGTGCCAGAAAAACAGCTGGTGACATGCATAACCCATAACAGCACCAGTGGCAAATAAGCCATCAGTAATATTGCTGGGAGATAACCTAGCACAACACTGGTGGGTATTCTGGCCTGCTACCTGGGAGCCAGAATCATGGGCATGCTTGTATCAGCATGATTCATTGCTAACTCAGTATTTTATGGTAGCTTTTGTATGCATCAGGAGAAAATAGAAAAACAAAACCTTTCCAAGGCTCTTTAGGATCTTCAGGATGGAACCGTGCCTTGACTCCTCAAAATATCTCCAAGAAGGCCCCTCTGCCATGCACCCATGCAAATCTGTGGTTCTAGTGACACTGATGCTGGCTTCTCATGCCTTTCACCTGAGCAGTTCACTGGTAGGAAAACCCTCATCTGCCCTATATGCTGTGCAGACTTCTGCTTTAGCAGAATTGGTCTTCCATTTTAGGTTTACTTGTCTGTTTTTCCCACCAACAACAAACAAGTGCCAGGGGACAGTGCCTTAGATGCTCAATCTCTTTAGTTATGGTACTGTGTAGTCAAGGAAAGTAAGTTATATTGCCTGGGTATTCACTTCAGGGAAGCACTAAGGCATGTTCCGCATTTGTAAAATAAACTCCTGCTAAAATTTAAAATAAATCCGGACATCTGAAGTCAATTCTATAATGTTATAAATAAAAGTCCAAGTTTGATTGTATATAGAATACTTTCTCAAGCTTTTTAATGCCCTTGACTACTAATGTAATGAAGATAATTTAAGTCTAGACTGGAAAAGGCTTAAATGGTATGTTTGGAATTCACTGTATCCATACAAAGATTTTATTCACTTAAGAACCATCCATCCAGTCAAGAGCACCTGCCTTGAATGGGCTCAATCACCTCCTGGATCTGATTTAAAGAGAACTTTCTATCAGAAGGAGTATTCCCCAGCCTTCTTCTCTTTTCACGCATACGCCCAACGGTAGATTTCTGTAACACTTGCTACTGGAGAACGTTTGTGTTGCTCCTTCTGAACATTTCAAAAGCATCTTGTCTGATAGCTAGAAATAAAGTATTCCAGGGAACACCTAATACCATTTTCAATGAAATGGAAAATTTAAATTGTCTTTCTTTTATTTTTTCTTTTTAATGAAAGGTTTGTTTATTTTTTTATCCTTACCTGAGGACATATTTTCATTGCTTTTAGAGAGAGAGGAAGGGAGAAAAACATCAATGAAAGACAGAAGTATTGACTGCCTGCCTCCCATATGAACCCAGACAAGAGATCATACACTTTTAGACTAGGGACTGAACCTACAACCCAGGTATGTGCCCTGACCCTTCAGTTATAGGAATCAAACCTGCAACCCTTCAGTTATAGGACGATACTCCAACAGAGCCACACTGACCAGGGTCGAATTGTTTTCCTGACTTCCACCAAGATGGAGGCATAGGTGGATGTGCCGTGCCTTCTCACACAACCACGTTTAGAGACAACTAAATATTAGCAACAGAAAACACAGCCAGAACACGGAAAACTGAACTTTTCGGAAGTCAGTTAACAACAAATTCTTCAGCCTGGCCAGTAAGGGGCGAAACCAGTGGCTGGTGAAGCGGGATTGCACAGGAGGTCTTGGTCAGCCGGACTCAGGCGCGGAATCCAGGCTCAGGGTTGGACCTAGTGAGCGACCGAGCGAGCCACCAGGCGAGCAACCGTGGGGGAGACAGCGGGGAAGCGGTGCTGCGTGTTGACTGTGGTCGCGCATTTGTGCGCGGGCGGACAGGCGAGGGAGTGGGCAGTTGGACTGGGGTCCGGCGGGTCCCCGCGGCAAGCGGCAGTGGAGGGCGCCGCCATTTCTCTGCTCTGACCCCACCTCCACATACAGCGTCATAACCCAGCGACTCTTGAGTGGCCCAGCCCAGGTGAACCACCTAAGACGCTAATCCTCACCCAGCTGTGAGAAACAGCAGAGGGGGTCGCCATTTCCCTGCTCTGACCATGCCCCCACATACAGCGTCACAACCCAGCCACCTGGGAGTCAAGGTACCGCTTCTCACACTTAAAGGGCCAGAACAGACCAAAAATGTCGCAAGATCTCAAAGCCCCAGAGCCCATAGATCTAAGCGATGAAGAAATAGCAAAACTCTCAGACGCACAGTGTAAAACACTGGTCATCAGGATCCTCACAGAACTGGTTGATTATACCAACAAATTAGACAAATATATGAAGGTGAAACTAATTGAAATGAATGGAATTGCACAGGACACCAATAGCAATGAAAAGGAAACTGGGACTCAAATCAATGGAGTGGACCAGAAGAAAGAAAATAATGGCCAAACAGAAAAGAGTCAAGAAGCAAGAATTCAAACAAATGAGAAGAGTCTTAGGAACCTCCAGGACATCTTTAAACACTCCAACATCCGAATTATAGGGGTACCAGAAGGGGGAAAGGCACAGCCACCAGTGGAAAACTTATTTCAACAAATAATAAAGGAGAATTTCCCCAATCTGGCAAAGGAAATAGACTTCCAAGACATCCAGGAAGCTCAGAGAGTCCCAAAGAAGTTGGACCCAAGAAGGAACACACCAAGGCACATCATAATTACATTAGCCAAAATTAAAATGAAGGAGAGAATCCTAGAAACAGCAAGAGATAAGGGGACAGTCACCTACAAAGGAGTCCCCATCAGACTGTCAGCTGATTTCTCAAAAGAGACCTTACAGGCAAGAAGGGGCTGGAAAGAGGTATTCCAAGTCATGAAATCCAAAGACCTACAACCAAGATTGCTCCATCCAGCAAAACTTTCATTTAGAATGGAAGGACAGATAAAGTGCTTCTCAGATAAGATCAAATTCAAGGAGTTCATCATCACCAAGCCCTTATTATATGAAATGTTAAAGGGACTTATCTAAGAAAAACAAGTTAAAGAAACATGAACAGTGAAAGGACAACAAACTCACAGTTATTAACAACCACACCTAAAACAAAAGCAAACTAAAAGGACAGCTAGATCAGGAGTGGAAACATAGAAATGAAGATCTCAAGGAGGGTTAGCAACAGGGGAGTGGGAGGAAGAGAAGGGGGGAGAAGGTACAGAAAATAAATATCATAGACAGTAGATAGAAAATAGATGGGGGGGCAAGATTAGCATGGGAAATATAGAATCTAAAGGAATTGAGACACATGGTCATAAACTAAAGGGGGGGTGATGGTGGGGATGGGGGGGAGGGGAATGAAGGGGGGAATAGAACAACTGTAACAGCATAATCAATAAAAAAATTTTTTTTAAAATGAGGGAAGAATTGTTTTCCTATAAAGGAACTTAGAACTTCAAATTTCTACTCCCATTCCCTTTTTATGGGGCTGTTTTACCCAGCTCCTATCTTTTTTATTATTTTATGGGCATTAAGGGCAAGTTTGCTGAGAACAAGATAAACCTTCAACGGGTAGGTAATCTCTCCTCTCCTCTCCTCACTCCCAACCTGTATATAGGGAGCTGTACAATAGCACACCCTGGAAACAATCTTTGCTGACTCTGGAGATTCCAATTTCACCAAACTACTTCCTGGAACAGCAAGAGGCTGAGTGACCACACCTTGTCTGCCATTCCAACACTCCATACTCCTAAATCCCTGACGGGCTAGCCCAGCAACTACCTACAAGGAAACAAAATACCATTTAAAAATACTATATCCTCTTTTCAGGGATAAATGACACATTTTCCAGTGGTATCCTAATACCACAAGGGGCACCACGAGGTTCTGCAATAGCAGAACAAGTGGCAAACTAAGTGTTCCCTAGCTGAAAGGCTAAAACCCCACCCCTTCATTGTAAAGACCCCACCTTTCTGGAAAAGCAATGCAGTAAAATGACGAGCCTGCTTCTATTTTCATCTAGCTGCTTCCTGGTACCAGACATACTGGGGTGTGAATGCTATTCACAAGTACAAAGTCTGCCAGATTCAAGGGCACCTAAGAAAACAATGTTAGGTCCTTTATTTGGGCCACTGCTTTTCAAGTACCCTGGCTAGGTCCTATGACTTTTGTCCCCA